GTGTAAACCTGTCCATCATCAGAGCGAGGAGTCCTGAAACTTGAACTCTCAGTACTGTATGTAACTAAAAAGTTTAAGCTCAGGTTTCTCACCAAGTAACTCTACCATCCTAGGAAATTATTTAATTTCTCCTAGGTTTAAATGAAAAATGATGCTAATAATTAGGACCAAATGCAGGATTGTAAAACTTAGTACATGCTATTTGAATTTAATACAGATTCAATGGATGACACCTTATTAAACTTTAAAATATAAATTTTTCATTATTTCAGGAGCACTATAAGAATTTATAAAAATGGAACAAAATTTAATACTTTAAAAGTTACTACTGAAGACTCCTTACTGTTGCTGTGAAAAGTACCTTTGGTCTTGTGCATAGTTTTGTTCAACAGAGAGTGTGTTAGCATGCTTTCTGGTTGTGCAACAAATGCCTGAAACAGTCAACTTAACAAAGAGAAAAGCGTGACTTTTTGGTACCATTTTGGAGGTTGTGGCTTGTGACTTATGGCTCATCTTCTTTGCACTGAAAGTAGCTCACCATGAGGAGAGCACAGTCTGGAGCAACCGCTTGACCTGATGGACATAAAGAAGCTAGAAAGTGGAAGAGCAGGGTCTGGTGTCTCACCATCTGCTTCAAGGAAATTAGAAGACACCCTCTTTTAAAGTCCCTCCCCATGGCCCCACACCCTGCTCCCTACAAAATAGTGCCAGGCTGGGCAAGCTTTAACACAGGACATTTCAGATCCAAACTGTTGCAGGAATTATAGATACCTAACATTCATTTCTATATTTTGGGCCACTCAAAGAGAAATGACTTACCTAACTGTTCATGTTTGAACTTATAGAATGGCTGTTGTTTTTTTCTTTTTTTTTTCCTCAAAAAAATTTTTTTTCCACAAGGATTTTTTTTCTTATTTGTCTTTTAATTTTTAAAATATCCATTTTTAGAAAGTTCAACATACAGTTACTGTAATTAAGGTTCTATCTTTTGGGCCACGTGTAGCCTGTTCATTAACTGTAGCTCCTGGAAGCCGTCTTATTTCCTCTGTTTGCTTCTCATGTTAAGGTAGTTAAGTCACGCTTCAGTCATGTTTTTGAGATAGAAGTGAAAACTGTTTTGGTGAGAAGCATAAATTAGGGGATTAACTTTGTTTCTCCTTCATTTATACTGGGCAGATTTTAATAATAAATCTAATAAATGATACCCAAATATTTTATCAATTGGTAAGTTTTGCTTCTGTTTTATTATAGCTTTGGCTTCATTTATAGAATTCATATTTCCATTTGTTTCTCAGTGATAAGCTCAATATATACATCCAAAGCATTAACTACCATGCTGAGTTCACTCCATATCAAAGGTAATGCTTGGCTTTCCAATTCCTTAGCCTGCAGCCCTCAGGTTGTGGAGTCTGTCTCCACAGAAGTCCAGAGTCTTGTGCCATTAGAGCTCTTGGGAATCCAGGACCATGTTAAGTGATCATCGAAGTAGTTCACAGTAAGACCCCTTCAGGATGGGCAAATTAAGTACCTCAATGAATCTTCCTCTGAGAGATAGACTCAATGCCATTGTACCAGCCCAGGGGTATTTGTGTATTTTAATGATTTATGAGATACAACTTTCATATTTTGAAAATTTAGCAATTGATCAATTTTCAGATCAACCTCTCACTGTTTTAAGATTCAGACACGAATGTGCAATGGATGGTATGTCTTTTTTTCCCATGGGCTATATATTACATCTATAATCCAGATAAGATTTTCCATATTACTAGAAGAAAAAGTATTTTTCAGTTCATGAAGAATTCAGTGAAGAGCTCTGGCTGTAATGTCCTTATTTTGTAAATGATTAAGGAGACTATAAAAGTTAAGTAGTTTGTCTGCTGTTCCCAAGTCAAGCATTGCACCAGTGCCAATACCAGGAAAACATACCAGACCGCAGAGGAGGACAGTGCAGCCACTTCTGATGAGACTAGACAGGCTAGGGTCAGAGGGAAGGGGAGGAGGGCCGCCCCTATCAGGGGACTTGGGGAGGGGCATAGGAGGAGATGAGGGAAGGAAGGTGGAATTGGAAAGGGAGGAGGGAGGGGGCCACAGCTGGGATACAAAGTGAATAAACCGTAATTAATATAAAAATGTAATTAAAAAACATATCCTTTGATCTTCCAGTTGCATTTTTGGTATGTTTTATGTTGTTAATGTCCGTTGTTCCCAAATATTAGGGTGATAGTCATAATGCTTTATGACCCATATTGGTAACAAAACATGATTGAGCCTTATAAAAAGATAAATATCTTTCCTACCTGTAGTTATTAGAGCTCAACAAACACAGTTATAAAGTAGATGATGGCTTTTTAAAACATGCACAGTACTGAAGTTTTCCCTACTGAAGTTGGTTTTCAAATGCCATGATTATATTTTAGATTATTATAGACTTAACTATAAAATACAGTTTCTAAAATAAATGAATACAGTTTCTAAAATAAAACAGCCTATTTTATGAGCTTTCTTTGACATATTTCCTTCTATCTTTTCCTGGCCTCCCTTGGTTGTATAATCTTTGGTTCCATGGAGTAGACAGGTGGATGCGTGTGTCCTAGTTTGCTTCTCTGTTGCTTGGGGAGGAAAAGGCTTATTTGGCATATACCTTAGGTTACCATCAGTCCACACCGGAAAGATCAGAGCAGGAACTGAGACCGTAGAAGAATGCTACTTACTGGCTCATTCCCTCTGCTTTGCTCAGTTATCTTCTTATTCAGCCACAACCACCTGCCCAGGAAGGCCCTCCTACGCCAGTCATTAATTCAGAACATGCCCTGCAGATGTGCCCACAGACCAGTGGAAAGGAGGCAGGTTCTCTACTGAGTCTTCCTCTTCCCAGGTGGTTCTGGTTTGTGGCAAGTTGATAAAACTAGTCAGCATAGTATGGGAAGAATTTATTCTTAGCTGAGATGCTCCAGCATGGCTTAGAGCGGGCTTGCTATGGTCAAAAAGTTCTGTGGGACAGGCACATGTTTTTAGGAATGCATTTTCTAAACCTTTATTAGAGAAAACCACATTTCTCTAAAGTAGCATGTATAATCTTATTCTTATATTTTATTAATTTGTTGATTATCTACAAACTTGATTTTGTAAACTTTTGATTCCCCACTAAATTTGTTAGGGAAAAAAACAGAAGAATGAAAACAGTGTTAACATTATAAGATAAATATTTATATGTGTACATCAAAATTCTTAATAGTTTTTAGGACATTTTCAGCGAAAGCAATGGTTGTGTAATCTGGTGTTTCAAATGTGATATGCCAAGAGAGGTGCATTGACTCATGCTCTAATCTCAACACTGGGAAGGCAAAGGCTGCAGGATTAGGAGTTGAAGGTTGTTGTTGCTTATATCTAGGCTAGATGAAACTTTATGTTAAAAATAGTTACAGAATAAAGTTACAAAATAAAGTTACAGAATGACATTTGGCAGACAGCTCACGACATTACTATGGAATGAAGAAGATTTGAGAGTAAGAAACCCTGAACTGTTTGTCAGAGTGCTGTGTGTAGCACTCTGTGACTGAGAGCACTGCTACGTAGACTGCTTAAAGGTTTTCATTTCCTGGGAACCTGAAGGTGGGCAATCACAGAAGAGTGTACTTGACTGCACACCTTACCCACCGGGGAGTCTGGTGTCCCCGAATCTCTGTGAATCTCAATCTTTTCATTTTGCTGGGCTCCGGGGACGCCACACACGGTTTTAACAGCTTTCGTTCTTCTAAGAATCTTGAACTTAACTTACTTTTTTCTTTACTATGTTTGTATTTTTCTTCTATTGTACGATTTTAATAAGCCGGAAAAATAGCGTTTTCTCTTAATTGAAAAGGGACCATAGGTAAGACGCTGAATGGCGACAGCGCTTAGTGTTGGGGGCCATCTTCTCAAAGGCAGCCCTGCTGCCTTTATAGTCTGCATCGCAAGGCGCACAGCGTTCTTCTGTTGAAAGAAAGGACCAGGCAGACTCAGTGAGGCTTCAAAGGTCAGAGGTTACTCCTGTGCCCTCCCACAGACTAGTTTGATACGTAATGCATCCTTGTACAGCAGACATGTGTTCGTGCTGTATGATTTAATCTCAAAAGTCAAACCATGTGGAAGAGAAGATTGTTTCTGAGCAGTTAAAACAAGTTCCTCTGGGTCTTTCTCAGCAGGTAGGCTGCAGCAGGCTGGGTGTGGCTATTTGAGTTAGTGTGCCTTTACTTCGTGGGTGTAGAAAAGTGGTATAAAATGACTTAAGGGACCTTTGTTCGTAAGCAGCCCTCACAGCTGCCGGCACTGGTTTCCAGCCCTTGCACATGCTCATGGCTGGAGACAGCTGGAAGGATGACCAGGGCCTCTTCTTTCCTTTCTTTTCTCTCTTTCTCTTTTTTCTTTCTGTATAATTTTTGAATTAGGGCAGTAAAGGAGTTGGGATGTTTGTTGTGGTTTCAAAGTTATTAACCTATTTTGGTAATTGAAAAAGGAAAATCAGAGATTTTAAGAAAAATCTCATTTGATTAGTGTGATGTGCTGGTTATGGTAGTGGCCTGTGAGCCGAGCAAATAAGATTGCCTTGCAAAAAGGAACAACTTTTTTATTATTAATTATAGCAGGACATCATTTATATTTTTATTCTTCTGGGAGCCTTGACTGAAGCATTGTTTCAGCTAATTGTCATGTGAACAGCCAGTTATAAGAAGAAGGTTTCTAACAACTTATTCATAAGAGTCTAATCCTCAGGACCGGACAAAGCCACATTGTTTTAAAATTACTTTATCCTTTTAAGACAATGCTTAACAGTTTAGAAAAATGTTTAGGTAAAATGAAGTTACGTCATGAAGAAACCTGTCTAAACGTAAATCTTTCAGAGTAATACCTGTCCTGAAGAAGAGTTTATAAAGAGTTAAGCGCCTTATGTTTGTTGACTTGTGGTTTCTCATCCTGTCATATTAATGAGTTTTCAATGTTCCATGATTACTTTTCAGTGTGTTTTGGGATCTCTACTGTGCAGCTCCAGAGAGACGGGAGACGTGTGAACACTCAAGTGAAGCAAAAGCCTTCCATGATTATGTAAGAGAACATACACTTTGAAAACAAAATTTCATTGCCAGTTTTTTTTTCTAACCACTGCTCTTAAAAATGTTTAACTTATTCCCATGGTACATTTATATCATAAAAAAAAAATGGCTGCTAGTTTAAAAGGTCCATAGAAAATGATGTTTGATTTTGTGGAAACTTCGAGAGTAGGAATAAATCCTAATTCCGAAAGGTACTTGTCATTAGGCACGGATGACTTGTAAAATCTCAGATCTGTGCAGTCATCTGTTTGCAATGTTGTAATCACAGACTGTCTGAATTGTCTCTTTGGTGGGGTGGAGGGTGGGGAGGAGATGCTGGAGATCAACCCCAGGACCTCACACAGGGTAGGCAGGTGCTCCACTACTAAGCTACATACTCAGCTCATGAAATTTCAGATGTATATAAATGAAACAGCATTTCTTTATTTAAAAATTTATCTTAAGCTTCATGTAAATGATAAACTCTTTTGCACAGAAGACAAAAAATACTGAATTAAAAATAAAAACTACTTCTTTTACTACTTCTCCAGAATTCTTTTCCTCAAATATAATTTATTGGAATTAAATATTAAAGAAGAGACCAAAATATTCCAGGAAAAATAAAAATATAATTTATTAAAAATTCTTAAAGAAAGGCAGTAGACTTCTCTAGGCTTAAGTATTCTTTATAAATACTAATCCCACTTTAGAACAAATTATATCGAAGTAAAAATTCTTTAGGGAAAAGTTATATATAAGATAGTCCCATGAGGGATCTCCTTGTGGAGCTGACCAGAGACGAAATAGTGATTGAACCTGGGATGGAGGAAATTCTGCCTTACTTTTCTGAAACTAGTCGAGTCTGAAGCCTCACAAATACCTATGACACATGCCTAACTTAACCAGATGGATACATGTCCTGATGGTAGAGTGAAACATCATTCTGTGCAAAAATATTTAAAAATGAGAAGCAGGTCTCAAAAGAGAAACATGCTTTGTTCTTCTAAAAGGAAAAAAAAATCAGTTAACAACTAAGAGACTTGTCTAGAAAATGCAGAAGCCCTAAAACAGTAGTAGAGGAGTGTGCAGGTGTGAGAGGTTAAGTTATTGGGTATGTGGCGGCGCCTGTACCCTGGCTGATGGCTTGTTGTGACCGCTTTATCTGGTACTGATTGCCTCCTCAGCTCCTGGGATGAGGAGAGGGGACATCTGTTGCTGAGCACAAAGGGAAAGGGAGAAATAGGAAAATCATCAGGGCTCCGAACACAGTGTTTACCTCAATGGTGTTGTTTAGCCTTTTACACTTGTGCAGTGACAGAAAGGAGAACAATGCTTCAACCATGAAGATTCCAAGGAATCTGCATAGAGTTGGATTCTTCATCTCTTCTGTTCCTCACACCAATGGAGACACATGCAGAGACTGGTGTTATCATTAAGTTGTAAACCTGCCTTCTAGTTTTTACAACTGGAAGGCATTAGAAAGAGCCAGTTCTCTGTTACTAAAGGAAATTTAACGTCTCAGTTTATAGTTTAAGAAACTCATTGGGACCAGAGAGATGGCTCAGTCACTGAGAGGGGTCACTGGTCTGAAACTGGCCTGGAGACCCTGAGCCTTCCTAAATATGGCACACTTCATTCATGTGTTACCTGATGGCCTTCGTCTCGATGGGTATTGAGTTTCTTACCTAATTAAATGACTAGGTTATGCTAAGTAAGCAGTCTCTAAATAAGTACTTTTTATGATATTTTTGAAATGTAAAGTCATTAATAGAAGCATCTGAAGTAGTTGTTGACTGCCAACTGACCTGGAGTTAGAATACACCTCGGTGACACATCCGAGTGCATGTTCGTAATGGCATTTCTATAGTTTTAACAAAGGTGGACAGTCGCTCTGACTGTGAGCGTCACCATCCTAGGAGAAATGGTGAAAAGCACAGAGCACTTCAGCCCTGTCCCCACAGAAGGGGTAGAGATGCACTGTAAGGCACAGCACCTGTATTAATGACACGGCAGTTCATACATGGACTGCCCACGTGTGCACCCTACATTAAGTGCTTGCTCTGAGTGCAGTGGAGGAAAGGAAGTGGGAGAAATCTTTGCAGGTAATGAGGGAGATCAGGCCTTGCCTGTGAGAACACAGGCATGCCCATCTAGGGCTGTTTGTATGTCAATAATGACACAGTAAGGTGTTTTAGCATAAATAATGTTTCAAAGTTATATTTATTGAGTTTATAGATTTCTTTTAATATGTACCTTCCCATTCAAAACCAAAGATAATTTTCATGAGAAACATTAAATGCCTAATTGTGGTTGCAGAAAAACATGTCTCCATTAAAGTTCATATTTCATTTTGACAAAAATTTTTATTGTCCATTTTAAGAAGAGAAATAAAAACTTACCAAAAAGTAAAAATGGTTTTAAGGAACTCTCCTGGATATAACATTAGTAACCACTATATATATGTAAATTACACAAATTATGTAAGCAAAACCTAAAGAGATAAATGACCCAAAATTTGAGAAGATAATTAGCATTTTAGAGGGTAATATTCATAATTTACCTTTTTAAGCTTTTATCATTTCATTTTTAAAAGTAGGATCATTTTACTTCAATCAGGTAGATAAAAGCTAATAAAAGATGAGGTAGATTTTAATCACCTGGCAATTTACAGATACAAGTAAGTTTATTCTAGAGTCAATAAACAAATTTGTTTACTCTAAAGAATTTAGACATTGAAGAGAAAATATAATTCAGAATGCTTCCTTGGGAACTACCATAAATCATCAAAAAACATTAATTATAATATGAATTGATTGCATAATAGGCTCTAAAAACCATGACATATTAGAATGTTAGCAAGATCACTTCTGCCCCAAGTCTTTCAAGCTCCTTGTATACACAAGACATAAACTGTACTAATCTATTTCAGGAAGTGTACTATTCAAGAATCTGGAAATACTGGTGAAAGTGTTTACAATCAAGTTAAGAAAATAAATGAGTTTCTAAAAACACAACAATTATAGACACTCAAGAAGCCATGTGAACGCAAGGATGATTGTCACAGCTGTGGCACTGTGAGGTGCTTGCTTTTATCTACCTATTGTTTGGAAAGTCAGTCTCTAAGTGAGTTCAGCATTTCCTACAAAGTCTCTATGATGAGCAATAGGGCAGCTCTTTCCACACGCACTATGGGATTAGTTTCTTGTTTTAAAGATTTACTTGTGTATGCGTGTGCCATGTGTGTACAGGTGCCAGGGGGTGTCAAACACCCTGGAGATGAATTTACAAGCAATTGTGAGATACCACACACACACACACACACACACACACACACACACACACACACACACA